ACTTGTAATGTTAACTGAAAGACTGCCATATTTCATGAAGATATACACACCATATTAAGAGTTAAAAGTATTAAATTGACCGAGCCCGTAATGAGAGAGTTAAACTTAGAAAGACTTTACAATAGTTTCCTGTGGGGAAGAAAATCTTCAAAAAGTTCCATATAGTAATAAAATACATCTGTATAGTGGACTTTGACTGCTTAACCCTTTATTAAACACTTTTCTGTGCAAGTCGCTGCGTTACATTCAAAATTTAAAATTATAATGCATGTTATCTAAGTTATAAACTTCAGATGTATTGTCATGTGACCAACGAGCTATGCAAATTCTCTATGGTACCCTGTATCTTCAGTAATACAATGGTAGATGTGTAGATACATCATACTTTGTGTCAATTCTCAAGGCTTACGACATTACACAGTGCATGAGAATTTTGCCAAAGGGGTTGTGCACGTCTGCCAGAGACACTTTAATATGCTTTGAGGACACTGTTGACTTGTGTCGAGATGAAGAATAAATAGTAAAAGACAAGAAAGAAAAATGAACATTAAAAATTAACCAAAACAACATATTTAAAGATATTGAACAAAAAATTAAAGGGTATGTACTTTTTTTCTACTTCCTAATTTTAGTCATTTCATTGCATTGTACACCGATGATAATAGCTAGAGTTAGTGATATGGTAGAGAAAATGATAAATAAAATATAAACATTTACCTTAAAACCTTTGATATTCATTTAGGAGACTCTAGAGGTTATGTAAATGAAATATGAAACTATAATATGAAGTATTTTTATACTTAAAATGAAAATCACCTTGCACTAGAACTATTTTTAACAGTTTGTGTGGAAATAACTAATATAGATAAAAAAACATTTTAGTTAAAAAGACAATTATAATAATGTCATTCTTTTTGTACAAAATACCAATAAACTTTAATAACAAAATCTTAAGAGGTTTTTGTCAGGAACACTCAAAGTTAACATAACAGTTTATGTTAGATACTCCTCACAGTTGTTTGTATAAGAGATCTTAAAAGTTAAGAATTGTAACGGCAAGCGGATCACATGACAGCAAAAACTGTTTCTTTTTAAAATAAAAGAATAAAACTTAGATAATATAAAATCTTAAATTATAATGTATTTGATAATAATAATTTTATTAAAATACATTGATAGTGAAGAGGTTTAATTAAATTTTGAATGTAATGCAGTAACAATGCAGAAAGGAATTTAAAAATGGCTGCAGGGATGAAAGGATTAAGGTACTTTTTAACCCGAACATTCTATTAGGGTTTTGTGCAATTTCTCGTGATCCCTATCATAGTTCTTGATTAGACTTTGTTTTCCTCATCATGAATCCATTACCATCAACCAATGTTTTAACAATTTCATTTTGCCTACCATGTTGCTCAACTATTACTTCTGTTGCCTGAATACAAGGTATCTTACAAGAGTCCCAGGCTATGTCAAACAACTGATTTCTTTAATAAAGTATTAAAGACAGCTTCACAATCGAGGCTTCTAATTGTGAATATAAAAATATGGATATGTATATATTCTAAAGAAGTTGCTTTCCTTCACTACATTTAACATGTTCTGCAATGCTTTAAAATATACATATTGTTTAAGTGCATTTGAAATAGATGCTGACATTTGATTGCTTGACGAAGTTTTCACTCTTTGCCCATCTCAGAAATGATAAGTTTATCACAGTTTGAGATGCAGTGGTGTTTTTCAGCTTCAGTTTTAAGTTTTGAATTAGGAGTGCTTCCTTTTTCCTTAATGTCCATTCTCTCTGTTGCTGAACCTATAACAGACTCAGTGACAGAAGAATGGATATACTATTCAAGTAAAAGAAACATATCAGTCTATAACTCAGGCCTGAGAAAACTGGATTGCATCACTCTCTGAGGCTCCAATGTGGGAAAATTATGCACATAGCATATGACATACAAGATCAATCAGTACAAATGAAGACTTTTAATAAAAATGTTAGAAAAAAACAACCTTTAAACTCCAGATACTTATAAAAGAACTTTTTATTTTAACCAACATTTCACCTTTGTGGCTTCATCAGGATTAGTATTATTTGTACATGTACTACATTATCTGGATTTCACTAAAATACATATATTTTATGATATTAAAGCCTAGCCTAAAACTTAGCATGAAGATACTGAGATTATAATATGTTACAAGTTTCCATCCCCTATGTTTCCAAGTTGCCATACATGAATCAATTATGTTCACTTATTTTATATATTATTCATAACTAACTATAAAAGTAAATAAGCTAATGACGAGGGAGGATTCATTAAGGATCATACTTATATTACTGTATAACATCATGTGAACTTAACCACTGACCACCAAAAATAAAAATAACTAATGAACAAGTACCTCACTTTACCACACAGTATTGAACTTCCTTGTCATAAAAAAAATTTCCTGTTTCTAGTATACTAAGGTTTATCGAAATATCAAACAAGAGGCCTATACAAAACTTCTTAAATACTGTGTAAGTAATTTTACCAGTGCTAGTTCATCTTCAGTTATAGTCCTAGACTTACATTTGTACCAGTAGGCTTCTACATTCCTAGTAAAATTCATGATAAAAAACTCAACATATTACCTACATCCACCACACCTGAAGAGAATCACCAAATTCACAACTTACTTTTCAAGCTTAGCTTTTTTTCTCTCAAACTCAGGAGAATCTTTTGTGAATGGAAAACCATTAAACTTCCTGATGTTTTTCTTAATCTCTGATACCTGTATAATGATAATTAACACAATTTAACATCCAACTGATTAAAGAATACTAATTTTTAATACAGTAAATAAAGACAACCATATGTCATTATTGTCTCATATAACAGTTTCAAACAAAACTGAACAATTAAATAGGACCAAAGGCCTGGGTTTTAAAAACTAGTGAAAACTAATTTTCTAGGTTTTATTGTTTTGGCAAGAGGAACCAAATGTTTCTTATGTTTGTTTGGAATTAAGCACAAAGCTACACAATGGGCTATCTGTTTCTTACATTCAATAAAATTACCCACACCAGTTATTTTACTGTTTATTTATAACCTTTTCAATGCATTCAGCTACACAAGAAACTTGTTTACCATAGAAGGTTGAAAAATACTCAAAAAAAAGGTCATTATTTTTAATTACTCAAACTTAACTTCTAACCAGAAGGTAGTTTGTTTTAGCTTTATATTAGAATGTACCAGCTACTGAACTACATAATTTTACTTCACACATAATGAACATAAAAATGGAATCTGGATGACAGAAATATAATACTAACAACGAAACCATAATTATAACAAAACATTTTCAGTAATAATAATACAAAGAGAGAGAGAGAGAGAACAGAGTATGTTATATTAAAATGATTTTGAGGCTTCACCACATTGTTATTGTCCAAGTTTCCTCATCTGGCCAGGCTTTATCTGATGATTGTGCATCTTGACAATAGCCCTGCAGCATAGATTCTACTGAAAAAGGCTTCATCACAAGGTTGTCATGTCCAAAACACACCACTCCTCCTGGTTTGTTTCCATAATCAATCTTGTCTAAGAAGTCAACAGTTTCACAGTACCCATTTCAACAGACTGATCACACAGAAGTCCACAGGTATTGCATTCCAGTGACTTGACCAGTATATCTTCACATGGAATACAATGAATATGAGTTTAATTCTCCAGCTGCTTGGGGTATGTGACAGTAAAACATAAGGTATGATGGAAAGCCTTATCTCAATGAATGCAGCAACCTCTTTTCCATATGTGGCCAGTATTTCTGAATGTATGAATGGTCCAGAACATTGCCACCACAAACTGCCATCTCCACCAAGATGGGTATCACTCATAAAATTTTCTAGAGTTGGTCTTTCTTTCCTGTATATGTCATGGAAGCAACTTGTATAAATGTAACTTGTGTCATTTTTCCTGAAGGAAATCCTTGTTGATATATTACATTCTGTTGCTTGAGATGGGGCTGTAGTTCTGATACATGTAGTTCAACCAAGAATTTATATTGGCTGTGTTGTCAAGTAACTTGATGATGTGTATAATCAAAATTATTTTAATACAAGGTAGCAAACCCCCCGTACATGTTGCATAAAATAAGTTCTGTTTATGGTTATATATTTAGATTTAATGTGTTGTTCTCAAAACATTGAACTTATGCACAATTCAATGTGATACCTTGAAATTTCTAAAAGAAAAATATATCTGATTATGAATTATTATTCCTGTATCTTGCATGTAATTTGCACAAAGCATATGTTTATTGTTTAAACAAAAAACAGTTCTTAATTTCAACAAATCAAATTGCCTTAAATATTATTTTACGATGACATTCTGAGACGTGCCTTCCTTGTTCCTGAAGAAAAATCACACAAGAGTTCTGAAATGTTGTCATAATATTCAAGGCTAATAATAATAAATATGTTCCGGATTATACCCTCTTTATCTCCCAAACAACTCTATTATGCATATTACTGTTTAGCAAATTGATATAATACAATGACACTTGCTCATTGGTTTTATCCCTAAGGGAAAGAGGGATACTAGGGAAGTCAGAGTCCATGTAGGTCAGATATACCACATCTTACAGGCAAAAAAGGTAGGCTGAACTCGGTTGACACAAGAAAAGAAGAAACACCAAACACTGAATGGGTGTGATAAAGGATGCAGATCCCAGGATAAGACCCCTTCCCTAACTGAACAACCATAGGAAATGAAGGGAGGTAGGAGAAATGGAAACATCCAAGAATGAATTAACAGAAGGAAAGAAAAGTCAGACTCGAGCCATACATATGGCAAGTAAATGCCCACACAATGCAACGGTGAGTCTAAGGGTAGAGTATGGAATGGGGAAACACAAAAAAGAAGACAGTACAAAAAAAGAAAGGGAGGACAGGTCAAGAAAAATGTGTAGAAAGGTGTCCCAATACATTGACCATAATCAACCACAGACCAGATAAAAAAAAGACTGTAGGTGGGAACGAAGGGAGGTGAAAAGGAAATGAGGAGACAAGCAAAGAAAGAGACCAAAGTGGAAAAATGGAAAACTGTCAGAAGAAGAGATAGGTACTTAAGGAATTGTATGTGTGAAAAATTGTTGACAAGAAGACTACTGGTAGAGAGAGGATGAGAAGAAGAAGTAAGCCTGAAATAAATAAATAATAAAGAACATAGGCAAATGATAAGGAAAGGAACAAACCTGAGAATGAAATCCAGAGAGATTGAAAGGTTAAGATCGTCTCACGAATGGTAAAGTACTACACCTAAAGCAAATCAGGACATAGTTCAAAAGATCATTTTCGACTGTCGGGAAAGAAATTTGGCTGACAGGGCGGGAGTAGGAAGCCCAACATATTCAACATCGATTGCAACGTTCTTGAGAGTTAACGAGCCTCCAAAAGCCACAGATGAAATAATGCCTAAGAATGAAGAATGTTACACACTCAGGACCAAAAATAAATCCCCATCCTTTGAGAATTCACAATAGAAATTAAAGCTTTTGAAACAAATGCTAAAGAAAACAAAAATCAAAGGTTCGTTAATGATGCAAATATCATAAAATTGAGCATAAACTAGATAATTTAAACCTGTCTATTAATACAGGAATAGAATGAATTTATCGAGTGCAAATGTATAGGGGAAGTTATTGCACATAGAAGCGTGTCATCTTCCTACTGGTGGAGGGCTTTTGCTGCATAATGACATCAATATGTAGTAGCAAAATTCACGAGTAATGTTGTGAGATTGGATGGGAGTTCACTAAAGGCTAGTGACATGCAAATCTCTGAGGCAGACACTTGGGAAATATAGCTAAGCTGTGTGAAGAGGTGTAGTATCCTCTTGGAAATCATAATTAAACTTAAGTAATTGATGAAACAAGCTTTCAAAAAATTTGGACTATTATTGTAGCAGACCTTGTTTACTAACACCTTTTATTCTAAAAACATATCACCAAGCTAAGATTTTATCACCGTATTCCAACCTTTAAATAAACTTCTGGAAGCCATATCAGCTTATATAGATGAAAGCAACAGAAAAAAGATTTCATTATTTCTGTAGATTACTAGCCTATGACTTCTCGATGTTGAGATATGGGTAATTACATGAGAAGAGGATGAGAGACAGGTATTGGATAAAAAGTCAACAAATTTATACCTGCATCCAAGTTCCAATATTAAATTAGCACTATCACGTTCAAAACTATTATGACTTTCTTCCTAGTGCTACAAGTGCCATAATTTGTCTAGAAAAAATTCAGGAAATTCGCAAACACCAATGATTTTATTCAAAGCATGGTGAAATAAACTCAAAATCAAAGTTTCTGAATTTTTTGCTTACATTTCTGATGTATGAAATTAAATAAATAAAAGTTTTTCACTGAATAAAATTCAACTCTAAAGATTTCTTTTAATGTGTTAATGAATGACTACAAATTTATTATCTATATTTTCTTTAATTCAATGGTGCAGTTTTATTCTCTCAAAACAGAGTAGGGTTAAACTTATACTTCTGTACTTAAGGTATACAAAGTAACACATACCGAGCCGGGCCGGTTAAAAAGAAACTTGTGTAACAGCTTTAAGTCATCTGCTTTCTGCTTCTGAAGTTGAAATTCAACTAATACACAAAAATAGAAAAAAAAGAACTTGTTTGTAACTGAAGTATTTCTAGTTTCACTTGAATTTACTTATTGATTATAAATATTCTTTTACAAGTTACAACTTTTACAGTAAGGAAGAACAGACATTCTCAAGTACTTAAAAACGATCAAACTAGTGATGTACTTGTTTCAAAAAATATTCATTCTTCATGTAAAATTTGTAACTTGTAAACAAAATACAAGTATTTTAGTTTCACTATCTTAAACTGTATGTCAGCAACACAAGGAAAAAAGATTTAACCATTCTGGACACTCCTACATTTTAGTTATTACTGGTACCTGATGATGTCAAAACATTGTACATTTGCTGTTATGTTACACTTATATTAAAGTTTTTCTTCATTACCCATTCAAGCCGTCTCCAACCATTATTTTTAGTTATTATATTTTGCACACTGTTTTAAACACATATATAACAAATGAACAAGTTTATCATAGCTAGTACAATAATTTTACAACCATACTTCAATACAGTTTTTAAAACAAAAATATTTCAGCTTTTAACTGATAAATTTATACATAAAAGAAATGTGACAAATTGTTTAAATTGAAATCAATAGTGAATTTTATCTTTTCTAGAATACTTAATGTTAATACATTACTGTTGTTAAAAGTTAAATTGTACTATTTAGACCTTCTAATATATCTTAGTAAGATATCAGTTTTTGTATAAAGTATGTGTATGGAATTGGAAACAGATCAATTGCCAGTAACAGTTACAATAAGGATTAAAGAGGTACTGAAATGAGTTACTTATTGTTTGAAAAATTAGAAACAGACAATTCATGTTTATTATATAGAAGATCAAATGCAAACTAGTCACCTGTATTTACTATGAAGAGGATGAGAAACAGGTGTCAGTATTAGATCACATAAATATGGAGAACCATAAACATGACAACCTCTAATATATGTGGAGGATAAAAAAACAAACCAGTTATCAATTGAATTATGTATCGTGTAAGGGATAAAAAACACACCATTATTAGCTATTGTGTGGGGGATAAAAAATAAACCAGTTATCACTTGAATTATGTACCAGGTAAAGGATAAAAAACACACCATTATTAGCTATTGTGTGGGGGATAAAAAATAAACCAGTTATCACTTGAATTACGTTCTGTGTAAAGGATATATGTGTGTGTGTATATAAAGTACCACTTATTATTTTATGGAGGATAAGAAACAAACCAGTTATCATAACAGATACTTAAGGACTACATTAACTATTTAAGTCACTTGCACACTTCGGCTAGTGACAATAACAGATTATTAGTCTAGGGATAATTACACAGAAATTTGTTGTTAACGGGTATACAAAACACGTTTCTCCTTCAAAGCTTGCCAGCTACATATATACCTGTCAAATCATTAAAATGTTCAAATTATAAATAGTGTAAATATTTATAAAACAATATTTAATTTATTTAATAATAATAACATACCTTAGATATTGTAAAGTAAAATGTACATAAAACCAAAGATACTTTGGACTGATACTACATCCAGGGTACTGATGTTGCTTCATAAAGAAATACAGTTTTCTCATTGGCTTTAAAACTACTTCCTTTTGTGCTTTAATAAATAAACAACTGCATATTGAGTTCGAGAAATTAATATGTGTTTTGCTGTGAAAAAGTAGCTACACTAAAAATTCACAAGTAAAATAAATATGTCAGCAACTATTCCAAATACATTTCTTAGTTGTCGTGGGACATCAGATTAGAGTTAATATCAAACCCTGTACCCATAGTGTACAGAATACCATGACATATCAAGTACCATTAGGTCATAACGTAACATGTAACAATGTTTTGGGATAACATGGGACCTATTGGTCCATCTTGGCTGTTCCATCCTTTAAATTAAACTAATTAAAAAACATTCTTAAAGCCAGCCCTTATAATTCACATACTTATCAATGTTTTTCTTAAACTCATTTAAATTTACTGCCTCTACAACTACCGAAGGCAACCAATTCCAAAGGCCAACCATCCTGTTAGAAAAATAAAACTGTCTTAGCTGAAGATGACTCTTACCTTGCAAACATTTATGTGTCCCCCTAATCCTACTATTCTCATTGTTAAGTATGAAAAAAGATGATGCATCAACACTATCAATTCCCTTTACAATCTTAAACAGTAAATCAGATCCCCCCCCCTAACACTTCTTTATTCAAGAGAAAACAATTTGAGAGATTTCAGCCTCTCCTCATATGAAAACCCCTCCATCCCAGAGACCATTCTCTGAACCCTTTCAAACAATTCTATGTCTTTCCTAAGGTAAGG